ACGGGAGAGGGAGGCAAACCCCAAAACCGAAGAGAAAGCCTAACTAGGAGTACCAGGGTTTAGGGTTTCGGGCTTAAGTGGTAATGCACCAGAGCCTGTCTCTTATACACATCTAGATGTGTATAAGAGACAGCCATTGAAGGGGGTGAGATGATTTTCCTCGCATTATTTTATTTTTATTTAAAATTCTGTGGAGATTTTGGAAGTGACCCTCAGCCGAAAGTTGTTTGGTTTGATATTCTGCACAACATACTTTTTTTTTTTTTTTTTTTTTTTTTTTTTTTTTTTGTGGGATATGGGCCCTGGTCCCGCCCGGCCCAGTTGCCCGGCCGGGCGTCCCGGGCAGGTCCCGTGCCAGCTTTGGGGACCCGGGCGGCACGGCTGGTAGCCCAGAGTAAATATGCATTCCCGTTTTTTTTTTCCTCGCACCGGGACTCTCTCTCTCTCTCTCTCTCTCTCTTGCGCGCACCCAGCCGCGCGAAGCTCCCAAAAAACTCTCATACGGGAATGGATCTTCCCGCAATGCCGGGAAGATGCATTCCCGTTTTTTCTTTTTCTCGCGCCTAGACTCTCTCTCTCTTTCTCTCACTCATTATGGTCTCTCTATCTCTCTCTCCCGCACGCCTGTATTGACCTGTTTTTTTTTTTTTTCTTTCAAGTTTTTTTCTTGTTCTTTTTTCTTAGTTCTGTTTTTATATGTTTTTTATTAGTATATTTTTTTTCTTCCGTGTTATTCTCGTGGGCGGTGTGGCAAGGGAGCGTCCAGTACTCCCAGCCTCGTTATAGCTCGGGATACTGGTCGCCCCGGGGGCTTACGAGCCCCGGGTAAGACATCACGAAAGGAACTGCTGGTTTAACCTCCCCGACACTAAAACGTGCATTTGGGGATCAATTTAAAAAAAAAAAAAAAATCAAAATCCTCCCCTGTTGTACTTTGTGGTCAAGGTCTGTATGTGCCAAGTTTGGTGTTTGTTGGGGTCTTGGAGACGAGTGTTTGTCAGAATTAATAATTAATTATGACAAATTTTTTTTTTTTGAAAATCAACTCACCGTTATTCTTAGCGTGTTGACGCTGGACAACGCTGCAATATCTTATTCCCTGTATGCTATAAATAATGTTGTGGTCCCTTGCATAAAGACTCACATTTCTTATTGTACCTGTTTCAATTTTAAGAAAGCATAGATTGAAATTAGTTGGACTGCTCCCCAAAACATCTTACAACAGTAGACCATAAGGACCTGTTCCAGAATTTCAAATCAGTTGTACCTGTTTCAAAATTTCAAAATTTAATTAAAAAAAACATCACTTAAAGGGTCTGCCAACAGTCGTAATCAATTGATAATCTTCGACAAGGAGTGTAGGTTCGTATAGCTAAAAAAAGAAAAAACAAAAACTTACATTTTTCACCAGGCAATGGGTATTGATTTGCAAGTTTCAAAATGAACTCGTCGAGGTGCGGGAATGGCGATGCTGTCATCTTTATCGGCACGCTTGTTGCTGAGTAATCATAATCATTGAAAACCTGTTCAATGGTCCGTGTCTTCGATGCATTCTCCACATAACTCAAAATTCGGTCTGAACTTCGCTGTATTCAATTTATAAATCAAACAATTACGAAGGGGGGGGGGGGGGGGGGAGTCTATAATATCATTGGAATCTGCTGCAGAGGAACTGTGCTCGCAAGTTTTGCTTAGGAATATACATCTGGTATGATCCTTGATTTGCTGCAGGGAACAAATAATAGACAAAGAAAATATAGACAAACAAGCAGGTACGCATCAGGCAAGTGGATAGCTAGTCACACATGCAGGGAGACTTTGCACAGTCACACAAGGGAGGTAGGCAGGCATGTTCGTAGCTATGCACACAAGTCGCCACACAAGTAAACAAGTGGACACGTGGGCAGACAAACAGGCAGGCAAGCAAGTATGCAGACAAACAATCAGGTACGTGGATTAACGGGAAGGCATTGAGGCAGGCTAGCAGAAAGGCAGGCATGTAGTGCAATGACAAACATGCACTAGGTCGACAAATACGCAGGCTGCCAGTCAGCCAACCTTTATGCAGGTTGGCAAGCCAGGTATGCAGGCACGCTGGCAGCTGTAGTAGTCACCTGATATGTCTATCAGTCAAAAACTCGTTTGCATTATGAAGTATTATTTTTTTTCGAATTTATATGTGCCTAAACGTAACCTGCTTGGACATGAACACATATGTGTCCAGCTGGCAGGCAAGCGCACAGGCAGGATTTGGGGACTCAGGCAAAGTAGGTAGGCAGGCATGTTGGTTCCTATGCAGACAGGTATCCGCGAAGGCAGGCAAGTGGACAGGTGGGAAGACAAATAGGCAGGTAAGCAGCCAGGTGGGCCATCAGAAGGCAGACAAGGAAATGACTGATTGTGATGGAAACAAATGAAGGAACTGTTGAAATTTAGACCGAAGTTAAAATCCACATTATTGATTCTCATCGAACCAACTTAATGAAACAATATTTTTAAATTACATAGGACTGATCAGCTTAGTGATAATATCTCAAGGCAGTAGCCCTTTCGAAAAGAAATAAGTAAATAAAGGGTGGCGGACATATGAATCAGTCATTTTCTCTAGTTGCAAATTAAAAAAAAATGTATTAAAAAAATATAGAAAAAAGTTGATTTAACATTTTATAATTTTGCCAGTACTTACAAAAAATAGAAGTTTTAAATGATTGAATAGCAGTAAAAAGTAGGAGTAAAAAGTAACAGTAAAAAATAGCACAAAAAAATAGCAGTAAATAGAAACTAGATGAGAGAACACTTACATACTTCGAACCTCCATTTGAAACACGTCCGGCGTAAGCTGTAATCAACACGTTTTTCATTTGATCGATATCATCAATCTGTAGATCATAAAGAAAAGTAACGAAAAAGCATTGTTAAATTTACAATATATAGCTAGACCACCAGAGTGGCCCGGACCACTTGCCCAACTGGGCCAATAAAAAAATATATTAAAAAATTATAAAATATATAATTTATTAATTTTATATTTCAAATTAGCCAAAGAATTTTGAATTTTCGATGTGACCCCGAGGGAAAAGTTGTTCACTTTAATTTTCTGCACAACATAGTTTTTTTTCGGATTTTTTCTAGGCTACCAGAGTGGTCCGGGGTCACTTGCCCGGCCGGGCCAAAAACAATAAAAAAATAAAAATAAAAATAAATATCTTTAAATTTTAAATTTTATTCTAAATTTGGTGAAGAATTTCAATGTGAGATGAGGCTGAAGTTGTTCAGTTTGTTTTGCTGCATAACATAGTTTTTTTTGGATTTTTTGGATTTTTTTTTTTTTTTTTTTTTTGCTGGGACCTTCCCTGGTCCCACCCGGGACCCGGGCGGCCCGGCTGGTAGTCTAGGATTTTTTAGAATTTTTTATTTTTGTTTCTGGCTGGGACGTTACACCCGGGCAAACAAGGTGGAAAAATGCAGCCCGGCCTGGTAGCCTAGATATACAGACAAAAATACTAAAAAATTAGTAAAAATAAACGTGCAGCATTAATTTCATTACGAAAGGAAAAACCTTCAAAAAAAGTGTTTGTAAAATAAAACATACCGCAATCTGAGGAGTCCCAAAATGCCCCTTTGGCAGCAAGTGTGAGAAAAGTCCTTCCTTTGTTGAAAATGGCAGCCTCATCAACTGCTCCCTTTTGTAGACTGAAAGATCTACAAACAATCTTGTGTCGTTCTTCGTTTGAACAAGCAGATCTCGATATGCTTGAAATTTTGTCGTGTTGCTTTCTATCTGCTGACAAATCTGTGTCAACGCATTGAGAAAAATATAAGTAGCAAACACCAATATGATAAGTCAACCTCACTATAAAATTTGAGTGTAAAATCAGGCAACAAAAATAAAAAATGTCATTTTTTTTAGGACTAAGGGATGCATTGAAAAAAAAAACAACCTAACTTCCAATAGAAATAAAAAATAAATAAAACTTCAATAACTAGTATTTTATAGCCTAAGGTTCATAGCCTTTTTTTTTGTGCCACTAATCAGCCTCCCCGAGGCACCTTGGTTGTTTGAAAAAACCTGGACAAGGAATACTTGGGGAACAAGTTAGGCAAAAAAAAAAAAGATTTTGCATAAAGTACATTATGCCATAGAAATGCTCATAGGATAGTCTGCTAACATATATTCAATTATGCTGCATGCAAATGGTTCGGAGTCACTCTAGCAGCACAATGGCTAAGTACTCATGCTGGTCGTTGATAACCCTGGATTGGTCCGGGACAGAGCAACCAATCGCTGGTTGGTCGGCATCTACCAGACCCTACATTTCTTTTTCTTTAAGTTTTTTTCTTTTAACTTCGAGAGCCCTCAATAACCCCATTAACACTCTCATAGCCTCCCTCTCTAACACCCCTATACTCCTCCCCAACAGCCCACACCATACTACCCCCACGAACACCCTTATATCCGACACCTACCCTGCTACAAACTCCTAATTTCTTTTTGAATGAGAGAAATATAACAAAGCAGAAAGGTGCAGAGGGTGTAGGGTGTATGAATGAGAAGGTAAGGCAGCACATCAATAGAAAAGCAAGCAGCGAGGGAGGAGAGGAACATAGCAATGAAGGGGACAACAAGCAAAAGATAGGCAAGGTAAGGTACTAGAAAGGGGAAGCGAAGGAGGAAAGAGGCACAGGGCTGCAACACACTTTAGAAAACGGGAGAGGAAGGCGAACCCCAAAACCGAAGAGAAAACCTAACTAGTAGTACCAGGGTTTAGGGTTTAGGGCTTAAGCGGAAATGCACCAGAGCAAGAGAACCCAAACCGCATCCTGGAATCCGCAGATTCAGAAGTGAGTTCAAGCGGGAACAGGTCGATTCAGAGGGCGAGGAAACAAGTGGTGAAGTGTTCGGCAAGCAGGAAGAGATAAGGCTGGGAGAGAATGTAGGGAAGGCTAACTTAGGCAGGTGTGAAGTTTGGTACATCCTTCCACGAGAAGTAATCAATGTCGGCTTTAAGGCCTCCACACCAGAAGGGGGAGGAGCGTGAGTAAGTATAATACATGTAAATTTTGTCGGGGACGGTATTTTTTTCCCATTCACGAGTAGCCCACGCGTGATGCGCTGGTGACAGGTTGGTAGTGAAAATCTTGTTGGTAAGAAGGCAAAAAAAAATCACATGCCAATAATGTCATTGAGCAAATAAAAAATTACGAACAGAATAGAGTATATAATTTTTACCTTTGACACAAAAGGCAACAACTCCTGATTGTTGCGGAATACCAATCCAGGTACTTTGATCAGCACATGCCTAGAGAATTTTTCCTCCCTTGATGAGTCTGTTTCAAGTATCCATGCACTCTCATGTTCTGCATGAGGAAACTCTGATGCTATCCGGTTCATAGTCACCATCAGCCATTGCAACACCATTTTTCTCCTGGTTCAAACAGGTTGGAAATTTCAAATCGAAATATAGATGACATTTATCTTTGCTGCAGACAGAGAAAGCAGTACACAAACAACAGAAATGCTAATGTCAGCTTGTCGGCTGAATTATATAAGTAATATCTCATATTAGTGAAATAAATAATAAACCTAAACCCTGTATAAATCATAACTTTCAGCAAACCACACATGAAAGGTTTCTGCATTGAGAGTTTTTTTGGAAGTCCTTCGCATTCGGGTGAACATGTTCATGTTCCCTTCTGGACGCAAATGAGATGCTACGTAGACTCACAGGGTGAATCAGTTCATAAAACGCACGTTCTCCATCACTCATGTCCCTGTACCTGCAAAATATAATCAAAAAAGAAAATGGTGAGTTCATAATCCGAAGAAAAAAACACAAACTAGTATAATAAAATATCAGACAAGTATTCCATCTGGTAGCAGTTATGACTCATTATGGTCTGCATTATATGAGAACTATATAGTATAAATTATCATACAACAATGTTTTATAATCATTGATGTATGCTGCAAAAAAAAAAACGACAAAAATTAAGGTTGCAAAAAATGAGGTTGAAGAAAATGGCAGTATATTGTGCAATGGTGTATAGCATTATTGGATGTACTTCACTCACCGCATCAGAAAATCATCTCGCTCCATCACAACATACTCGAAACCCGACAGTGATTTATGTAACTCATATGCAAGAATGACTGGGCATATGAACTTCGCATGTTCATTAACATAAGCAAGCGCAGCATCTGCCTTTGAAAAAGTTTGCACAGTTCTTCCCAAGGAGGCCGATCCCTAACAGAAACAAACAAAAGTTGATAATATAAGCCAGACTGATTGGAAATACATCAGACACAATTGAAAACAAGAAAGGAACAAACTGAAACTTAAAATTATTAATAAACAAATGAAGAGAAAAACTTTTTCTGAAATTCTGGAATGCACGCAAGACCTCAGACAGCAATATTCACCGGTTGATAACTTAATTCAATGCCGTCAAGGCCAGTTCTCTCCACTAGCAGACCTGTAGGTATACCTTCAATATGACTATTTTGAGTATTTGAAAAACCCCAGACCCTCAGCAACAACATAAGGCTAACGATGTTAGCTCTAGGCTGCCCTAAGTGAACGATGTTAGCTTTTGGTCTTTCTGACGATATCGTTTCAAGGTAGTTTTTGGACACCGGTTGGCTGGAAAGCCAATTCCGTAGTTGTCTGACCAGGACGTAGGGTCCCACAAGATGTACGCTATGTGAAATTATTTTGGCCTCCTGAGGCAATCAGATTACAACCTGCACCTTGAGCTACTTCACACAGTTGAATGATACAAATTGTCGGCACTAGGCTTTAGACGCAGTTTGAAACTGGTTTTGCCTATTGGGTATTGGGTCTGCACAACTTATTTGGACCAAGACTGACCTTGCATGAAAGTCACAGCATAAAGAAGAGAGGCAACATGATTTGGACTCATTAAGCTGTTCGATGCTCGAGTCAGGCATGGTGCTTCTTTGGATAGTGGTTGGGACCTTCACAATCGAGCAGCACTGAAAGCTTGATGTTTCAGCAGCTACGATGAAAGTCAAGTGCAAGCGTCATAACCAATCAACCTGCACTGGGTTGATGGTGCTGGATGGGGGTCCCTCCGTAATTGTGAGTTGTAGGAAGACAAGGGACGAGAGAGTGAGACAGAAAGTCATACAGAGTTGTGTTTGGGGTATTATATGGACAACAGTTTCCATGTACTTCGACTACAGTGCTGATATAATAGATGGTCATTTCCTTAGATGCATTAGTAACAGTTGGACCAAGAGTAGTTAGACGTTGAGCACCAGATGGAAGTGTGACTTAACTGGTTGGGGATCACAGTGAAGGGTGACATTGTCAATTTTGTTCATGTTGCTTGGTCATTTTACCCAGAGGGGTGGGCTGTATAAAACAGGGAGGAGTGGTCAGTCATGTTTTTGAAATTTGCATACATTGAAGGAGACAGATCATAAAAGAAAAGATTTTCGAAAATACCCATCTTGATGCAGCCCGCTCTGCCTGATCAAGAGCAATCTTGCCCAATTCATCCCAAACTTGTGAATTCATTTCTCCATTGTCCTGCACAAAATTGAACAATTTGTGGTTCACCACAATCAGATCATTGCCTAATTCAATAATTATACTACTACAGAGAGGAAACAAGAAAAAATAAAAGACAAAGCTGTGAAAATATAGGGTTAACTTTGCGATAATATTAAACCATACCTGAATGAGTTCTTCTTCATTCTGCTCGTCAACACAACATGGCTCATCTTCATCACTTTGAGGCTCAATTTCACGAGGCTTCGTCAATTGCGGGAACCCCATAGAATTTCTTGTGAACTTGATTTTTTTCGATGAATGTTCTGTCACCTGTAATGAAAATAAAGTGAGAAGCTTATTAAAGGAAATAAGTACATGTCATCCTGAAACAACAACAGGAATGAATGTTCTGTCACCTGTAATGAAAATAAAGTGAGAAGCTTATTAAAGGAAATAAGTACATGTCATCCAGAAACAACAACAGGAATGTTGTAATGACATGCAACTCAGCGGTGAACCACTCAAGAGTCTGACTCCAGTAGACTCAACTATTCAGTTTCTCTCTAATGTCTCTTTCTCACGCCTCTCTCTAGTGTGTCTCTCTCTCTCCCTTTGTCTAGTGTGTCTCTCTGTCCCTCTCTCTTACTTGTATTCCTCTCTCTCTCTGTCTCTCTCTCTCTCTCTCTCTCTCTCTCTCTCTCTCTCTCTCTCTCTCTCTCTGTTACATGCCCAGTCGGACACTGAGAGTTCAGCCAAGGATCCACATTGTGACGAAAAGGACTGAATGGACAATGGACTGCTAACGTAATATCAACAGACAGTGTACATCCTGATACATGAACAATGACATTTAACAGCACAGCGGAACACTTGGAGATAAGTCCTGACCTGACCTGGACTGTTACAACATCCCATCATACATCACACATGTGAGAGAGAGGGAAAGGACCGCATACATAGATGAAGGTCCCTCCTACATACACGCACATGGGGAGATACCACAGATGAGAGATGGAGAGGGGGAGGAAGGACGAAGATGGAGGTAAGGGAGAACACTAAGATCGCAATAACGAAGTTCAAGTAGTCCCTTGTCGAAGTCCAACTAATGTCTGCCCAAAAATGTCGAACCAGATCCTGGGCCAATGCCTGTGACAACCCCTGCCTGTACCCCCGCAAGTAAACCACTCTCACTCTCGTAGGCTGCCGAAGCAGTGAAGTCAGATAGTGAGAGGGTAGGAGAGAAATGGTGGACTGGGAGGAGGAAGAAGAAGAAGTCCAACCAATGTCTGGCAAAAAATGTCGAACCAGATCCTGGGTCAATGCCCTTGCTAACCCCTGCCTGTACCCCCGCAAGTAAACCACTCTCACTCTCGTAGGCTGCCGAAGCAGTGAAGTTAGATAGTGAGAGGGTAGGAGAGAGATGGTGGACTGAGAGGAGGAAGAAGAAGAACTCTCTCTCTCTCTTCTGGATGCCAGGTACTAACCTGTGATGGTGGCGCTGTGCTGCAGGTACCTCGCTGGCGAGCTGGAGCTATGGCGCCTCAGGTAAGTCACTCAGGAGTGGCGCTCTGCTACAAGTACCTTGAAGACGAAGCTGGAGCTATGGCGCCACCGGTAAGCATCCCTGGCCTCCACCAACCTCCTCTCGCAACTCCTCTAGCCTACTGTTACTAGCGCCCAGCGTTGAAGACTACTGCTAACGCTACTCCACTACTGCAGCCGAATCCTGAAGACTACTGCCTTCTGTACAAGTGCACGTCGAGTGCCTGGGCAGTCTCCTCTCCTCTGTCCCAACCTGTAGGGCGGGCCAGTCTTATATAGCGTTGGCCCGTCCAGGAGGCTGCTCTTGCCAATGCCTGCACGTGCTAGCCCCTGAGGAAGCTTCAGGGCAGGTCACTCCTGCCAATGTCCGAATGTGCTTGTATAAGGGCAGGTTGGCCTGACGAGGGACCGAGAATAGCCCTTAGTTTCACGCCAAAGGCTCAGGCCTTTTTTTGGACTGAAACGATGCAAGGCCTGTGGCCCCGGATGTCAAGCTTTGGGGCTGAACCGTCATGCGGCCTGTAGGCCCGGAAATAGCCCTCAGTTTCAGGCTAAAAAGGCTCAGGCCTTTTTTGGCTGAAACGATGCAGGGCTTGTGGGCCCCGGATGTCAGGCTTCTGGGCTGAACCATCATGGGGTCTGTAGGCCCAGAAATAACCCTCAGTTTCAGGCTGAAAAGGCTCAGGCCGTTTTGGCTGAAACGATGCAAGGCCTGTGGGCCCCGGATGTCAGGCTTTTGGGTTGAACCATCATGGGATCTCTAGGCCCTTATTTTCAGGCCTTGAGCCTGAATGACGCAGGGCCTGGAAAATGGCCCTCGTGTGCAGGTGCAGCATGTAACACACACTCTCTCTCTCTCTCTCTCTCTC